AGAAAACCAGGAATTCCCTTAACAAGGCCTCCCAGGATCTGAGAACTTTTTATTGTGAATGGGTTTTAGGAAAAGGGGAGAAGAGTTTAATAGATTTAAAAGATTCTATTCCTTTGTCCCTATCTGTCTCTGACTTCCCCCCCAAATATTTAGAATAATCATAATGAAATGTTGGCTTGAGACTGCAGTAAAAATTGTGAAATCTTGGGCTGGGGATATAGCTCAGTTGGTAGAGTGTTTGCATTGCATGTACAAAGCCCTGGGTTTAATCCTGTTTGCCCTTCAAGACATTGATAGTACATAGCCCATTGTTGATTCTCCCTAATTATTAGAAAGTGAACTGTAGTATTCTTCCCCATTTTCTGCTGTGCTTTCTGGGATTTACAGGAATTAATCTACTGCTGTTCCAGATAGCAGCATTTGTGAGGTTTATTTTTTCTAAGCTAAATATCCTCAATTCTCTGAGTTTTTCTATCTAGTAACCCTTACCACACCACTTTCTTACTTATCCGTGTTCCTCTTGAAGCAACTACACAGAACTGAATAACAGACTTCTCAGTAGGATGACCACTGAAGATGGTGGAGAAATACTTAACCTGCCTAGTTTTGAGCAGTGTATGTGTGTGTGTGTGTGTGTGTGTGTGTGTGTGTGTGTGTGTTATATTGAGGATTTAACCTGGAGGTGCTCTACCACTGAGCAACACCCTTAGTCCTTTTTTTGTTTTTATTTTGAGACAGGGTTTCACTAAGTTGTCCAGGCCAGCTTTGAATTTGAGATCCTTCTGCTTCAGCCTCTGGAGTTGTTAGAATTTTAGGTGTGTACCACCATGCCTGGCTATTTTGAGCACTTTTGCATACAAGGAATATCTAAGGTGACATCAGCCTGCTCTGGGTCACACCTAGTTTCATGGCATGCATTCATTTGGTCATTGTGAGCCAACAGAAGTGCCTACATGCCAGTATCATGAGACACTGAACTGAGCCAGAAGATGCTGAAGGATCTCTTCTTCATGAAGAATCATTAGAACAGAGAAGAAACCTTCCTCTCCACCTCCATTGGATGTCATTACCCACCCTCTACTCTTCCTGAGGCTCTTCATATATTTGGGTCCTGGGTTTAGTCTGAAAGGGGGAAGATAGTGGAGGGGTAGTTTTTTCTAGCTTTGAGAATTAAAAACTGGAATCTCTACCCAGGTGCAGTGGTACATACCTGTAATCCCAGTGGCTCACAAGGCTGAGATAGGAGGATCATGAGTTCAAAGCCAGCCTCAGCAATGGTGAGGTGCTAAACAACTCAGTGAGACCCTGTCTCTAAATAAAATACAAAAAAAAAAAAAAAAATAGGGCTGGGGATGTGGCTCAGTGGCCCCTGAGTTCAATCCCTGGTACAAAAAGAAAAAAAAATTGGAATCTCTGCCCTTGCCCAAAATTAATTCTTGAGTATCAAGCATTAATTGTATACTAAGTATTGAGCTAGATACTTTGTGATACAATGATAGGCACATGAAACATGGAGTTTATAAAATCTGGTGGAGGCAGGTGCTGTGGCTCATGCCTGTAATCCCAGCAGCTCCAGAGGCTGAGACAGGAGTATTGCGAGTTCAAAGCCAGCCTCAGCAATGGAGAGGCACTAAGCAACTCAGTGAGACCCTGTCTCTAAATAAAATACAAAATAAGATTGAGCATGCGGCTCAGTGGCCAAGGCCCTAGTAGAGAAAAAAATAAAATCTGGTAAAGGAGAAGAATACTAAATAATCACACCACCAATATGTAATTACAAAATATAAATGATATGAGAGTAAGTAGAAAGTTATATGAAATATTATGTAGTATAGAATCTGACCTAGTCTGACCTAGTCTCCAAGTCTTTAAATGAGATGACAGTTGGGTTTCCATCATGGAAGAAAGAGTATGAGTTGAGTGGACAAATGTGTTGAGGGCAGTTTTGGGCAGTTTTGGTTGGAGGAGGTATTATAGGCAAAGGAGGAATGTGTTTGATGGACCCACACAGGAATGATGTCATGAGCCTGATTCTGTCACAGTTGGACACAGTAAAATATAGCAGGCTGTCAGTTTCAGGTGGATGGGGTAAGGCGTTTATTTGATTTTTGGACCAGATGGCAGAGAAGGAGCTGGTCTTAGCAACACAACGACATCCCTATCTACACGATGATGACCACATCATCAGGTGGTTATTGACTTTGTATTGAGTTTAGATGTCACAATGTGTTCCTCCCTTTCTACATGTTGACCCTAAGGCTATGTTTTTTTATTTATCCCACCCAGGGAAAAATACTCTAGAAGGCTGAGTTCAAGAAACTCCTTGGATGTGGGGTCTCCCTTGGCTGCCTGCCTGATTGAGTGGCCTAGCACAAGGCCCAGCTGCCTCCAGTAATTGTCAGAACAAAAAAGTGACAAGCATGTGAATGCTAGGGATGCCAGGTCAGTCACTTCCTGTTTGTTGTGCATCTTTTAGGCTTAGCTCCAAGGTGACTGCAAGGACAGAGTTCACAAATGTGAATTAGGCTTTCCCGGATGGAGAATTCCTTGTTAGTGGTGCCATCTGCAGGACATTAAAGAATTTGCTATGAGTTTGGTGGGATTGAGTGGAGAAAATAGCCTTACTCAAGCATTTCAGTCTAAATCACAACCTGGGTCCCCCACATTGGGGTGGGGGACCCAGTTTCCTTTGTTTTTTTTTAGCAAACAATATTTACGGCTCCAGTCTTACAAGGCAGGACACAGAACTGTGATACCATTTCCTTTGCTCTCTACTGATTAAATCTATCACCTGTAGAATAAGGCAGGGCTCCTCCTATTTTATTTTATTTTATTTATTTATTTTTAAAGAGAGAGTGAGAGAGGAGAGAAAGAATTTTTAATATTTATTTTTTAGTTGGCGGACACAACATCTTTGTTGCTATGTGGTGCTGAGGATCAAACCTGGGCCGCACGCATGCCAGGCGCCAGGCGAGCGCACTTCCACTTGAGCCACATCCCCAGCCCTGGCTCCTCCTATTTTAAATGTTTATTTTTTAGTTTTAGATGGACACAATATCTTTATCTTATTTTTATGTGGTGCTAAGGATCAAACCCAGTGCCTCACACATGCCAAGCAAGCGTGCTACCACAGCACGCTGTTACTTGAGCCACATTCCAAGCCCCTGGGCTCCTCCTATTTTAATAGTGTCTTCAAGAAGGAGAACAGCCAGAGTGCTGGCCTATGCCTGTAATCCCAGGAACTCAGGAAGCTGAGGAAGGAGGATCACAAGTTCAAAGCTAGCCTTGGCAATTTAGTGAAATCTTGTCTAAAAATTCTAAGTAAAAAATAAAATGCCAGCCAATCCCCACAAGCAAAGGCCCAACATGTTTTCTAATATGCAGATGCTACAATGGGTGGGGGGTTGGAGAATAAAAATTCATTGAATTAGACAAAGGGGAATGAAGGGAAGGGAGGGAGGTTGGGAACAGGAAAGACAATAGAATAAATCAAACATAACTTGCCTGTGTTCATATATGAATACACAATCAGTGTAATGCCACATCATGTACAACCGCAAAAATGGGAAGTTATAATCCATATATGTATGTCAAAAAACATTCTACTATCATGTATAACTATAAAGAACAAATAAAAAAATAAATTAATAAGTAAAAAGGACTGGGATATAGCTTGTGGCCCAGTGGTTAAGTACCTCTGGATTCAATCCTTGTTACCAATAAGGAAAGGAAATGATAAATAAATTAGTGCTGGGATGTAGTTCCATGGTAAAGCACCCCTGGTTCAATCTCCAGTACCAACCAACAAAAAAAACTCACAAAACAAAATATCATCCTCCTCAGATTTATCCTTGTGCTTTTTGTATGTGAAGTAATTTTCTCCAAGGTTAAATCCTCTATTTGGATCCTTTTTTTTTTCTTAAAAGTGCTAAGTTGGGGGCTGGAGATGTGGCTCAAGCGGTAGCGCGCTCGCCTGGCATGCGTGCGGCCCAGGTTCGATCCTCAGCACCACATACAAACATGTTGTGTCCGCCAATAACTAAAAAAAATAAAAAAATATTAAAAAATTCTCTTTCAAAAAATAATTGAAAAAAAATAAAGATATTGTGTCGAACTAAAAAAACTAAATATTAAAAAAATATCATAAGCATATTTGTTTAAAAATAACAATATGAAGCTCATTGTGTGCTAGCATAAATATATTTAAAAAAAAAAAGTGCTAAGTATTGAACCCACCAACCCAGAGGCTCCCACATATTAGGCAAGCTCTCTATGGCTCAACTATATCCTTAGCCCCTCTAACAGACCTTTAGATTTAATTGAACTATAAACTTGAAAGAATGTAAACCATGCCAAGTGCTACATATTATCAGACCTTTAGATTTAATTGAACTATATGCTTGAAATAATGCAAATCATGCCAGATGTTACATAGTGTGACCCCTCATCCTACCATTTACAGTTGTTGCCATTACATCTTGTAATGCAATCCCCCCTCTCCAATGCACATGGCCTATTGTTCAATCTTTGGTTTTCTTCTCTATCCCAGGGACACCCAACCACTTAGCTACATCCCCAGTCCATTTTGAGACAGGATCTTGCAAAATTGTAGAGGGTAACCTTGAACTTTTTCCTCCAGACTTTGCTTCCTAAGTCACAGGGGTAAAATGTGCCACCATACCTCCTAGGGCTATTGTTGATTACTATAAATCCTGCAACTTTTTTTCGCATTTTTAGAGCTGAAACAGCTTATCACCCTTTTCTACTTCAAGGGTCTTTTTGAGGTTTTGTGTGTGGTAATGGTAATAGCAGCCATTAATAGGCTATTTAAAACCACATATAACTTTGACAATAACTCAATTCCTTTGGTGCTCCAGATTGAGCCCAGTCCACTATGCTTCAAGGTAGCAAAATGAACTTAGATAGGTAGTGAGGGTCTTTGACAATGTGTTGCAGTGATTCCATATTGGATGCGTTACAATAAAGCACAGGAGACAAAGCACTTTTCCTTAAAGCCTTTACTTTGAGACATGATGGAAAAATTTTACAGGTACACATGGAAAAAGACAGACATGTTCATGATTGAGTGAAGACAATCTAATCAGTAAACTTCAATGCCTGTTAGCTAATGCTGAAGCTGAAGTTCTGGGAGTATGACATGCTGCAGGGCTGAAAGGAATAGGTAATTAGTATTCCTCTCCTTCTTCCTCACCCTCTCCTTCAACAGAATCCACACCAACCTCCTCATAATCTTTCTCTAGGGCAGCCATGTCCTCACGGGCCTCAGAAAACTCTCCTTCCTCCATCCCCTCACCCACGTACCAGTGAACAAAGGCACGCTTGGCATACATCAGGTCAAACTTGTGATCCAGGCGAGCCCAGGCCTCAGCAATGGCTGTGGTGTTACTCAACATGCACACAGCACGCTGTACCTTGGCCAGGTCTCCACCAGGAACCACAGTGGGAGGCTGGTAATTAATGCCAACCTTGAAGCCAGTGGGGCACCAATCCACAAACTGGATGCTGCGCTTGGTCTTGATGGTGGCAATGGCAGCATTGACATCTTTGGGGACCACATCACCACGGTACAACAGGCAGCAAGCCATGTATTTACCATGGCGGGGGTCACATTTTACCATCTGGTTGGCTGGCTCAAAGCAAGCATTGGTGATCTCTGCTACAG